TTCAAAACATTTCGAAACTTTTTGAAACTTTTCTTTATATGTGATAATAAAAATATTTCTGCAAAGCAGAATATTTATGTGGTTGATATGGGACGTATCCATAAAGAATATTATAGTGCTAATGCAACGTTTCTTTTGGATAAGGCGATTTAAGAAATTAAAGGATCAATAGGTATAATACCTGATGCAATAAATACAATGGCAAAAAAATATCGCATATCTCACTCTCATGTTGTTGATTATATAGAAAATCGAGAATGCTGACAACAAATAAATTCTTGATTACGAATTGAAAGTGAGGTTTTATTGCAAAGCAAGTCCTTAGATAATTCTTTGAATCATAATTCTCTGAACCTACAACTGGAATCTACCACTCTTAATACAGAAACAAAAAAGAGAAGATCCAAATCTCGGACTAATTTTGTATTATATAATAATAAGCTTCGCTCTCACATATCAGATTCAACACCTACTAATAACTCTATAGAAAAAATAAGTAGTGAGGATCTGGATGCATTATATAAAAAAGAAGCCAGAAGAGATGAGAAAAATAAAGCAAATATGACTCACCTATTAGCTACTACTTAGTCTATCTTTTCTTTATTTACGCTATCATCTCTAGAGGAGATATGTTCGAGTAGCTTTTCATAATGTATTTGCAACTTTTCACAAAGATCATTTATTTCAGCTTTAGACGCGAGGGTAGTATATAGTGATTTTTCTAACTCCTCATAGCTCATGCGGTTTTTTTTAATGACGAATCAACAGAATCTGAGCTAAAACCTACAGGAGCATGCTATTCCCCTTCAATAGTTCATTATCCCCTCATTACTATCAACTTCTTGAGAAATTTGATCAGATACCAAAGGCTTGTTGCAAAGCAATGGGACTCTGTTCCTATTATTCTGAGATGTAGTAGCGCAATTTACTTCGAGTTTATTCTTGACTTTGTGCATAGTGACTGGAATAATAAAATCTTCTCTATTGTAATGAATTTTCATTTTATCATTACCCCAGTCTACAGCACATTTATATTTTTTAAGAAGCAGATTTGGAAATATTAATGTCAGTTTAGGAACTCATACAACTACAAAATCTTCACGTATAGTAAAACCTGGAGAAAATGTTATTGGCAAATTATAAAAAATACTAACAGATTCCGTTAGAACAGTAGCGACACCACTGAGATTATATTTTTTCGATTTATCTATTTTCCTGCCTACACGTTTAACAATATCTTCTAATACAATTGCAGGTTCGGCACCACTATCTAGTACCAATGCTGGAATTTTTAAGCGTTTAATTTTAACTGGTATAGTTGCAATACTAATTACCGGTTCTTTCTGATGGACAAAATCAATCTCCATAGGATCATTCAATATCTCCTCTTCTCTATCTGATTCAGATATTTTTGGGGCCGGCTCTCGATAATTTATAAAGTCAGATTTTGCAGGCCCTTTAGAGGCAACTCTTTGAGTCGTAGATAAATTCATATTATTAATATTGTTTTTAATTATTTTTTTTTTTTTTTTTTTGGTGTTAAGGTGGCTTCTTGGCCGGCTCCTTTTATTCGGTTATAGTTAACTTTACAATATGCGTTTATAGCATCTCGTATACATATTTGAAGAGTACATACTAGTCACACATACAACTTTTGGTTGCCTATTTAAGTAGTCTGCTTATTACTAAGTTTTAATTATTTCTATAACCTCTGGATCGTTAAACATAGTTAGAATAATTTTTCGAATTTGTGAGTCAATAATCGTACCTGATTTCTTTTGTATTTTTTGTAAAGAACGTTAAATTGGAGATTCGAGACTCTGTTTCTTCTTTGAACCAGACTTTTTAGATGACGATTTTGTAGATTTGCTCTTATGTTTTACTTTTTTTTACCTTACTAATATGAACCTTAGTGTCACTTTCAGATTTAGATTCAGCTAAGGATTCTTCAGAATCAGATCCTGATTTGGAGCCAGAATCGGATTCATTATCAGAGGAGTTAGAATCTGAATCTGATTCAGAACTTGAATCTACAGTAGTGATATTAACCTTACCTTTTTTTTTGGATTTATTTTTAGACTTGCTCTTTTTCTTTTTTCAAGAGCAGTTTTGGGAATTGTGTCCAGATCTACCACAGTTAGAACATCTGTGTTGTGACTTCACAGCTTTTTTAACAGCTTTGGCTATATGTAATTTTAATTGCCTTTGTGTGAGATTAGCTAGTTCATCATCAGAGTCAACTTCAACTTTCTTTATTACTGGTTTTGGAGACAAATCGGGTTTGGGGGTAGGAATGAATTCTGAAACTTCTCCAAAAATCCATTGTAAAAATCTACCCATGTTTGTATCTTTTATAGTTTGATATGTTTCTGGCGGTTGTGGCTCATAGTAAGGTTAAGGTAGCTGTATTGGCTGTAATGATTGTATTTGCTGAGTAACTGGTTGTAAAGAAATGGGTTGAGATAGCACAAAGTACTGAGTTTTCGTCTCTTGTGCAGGTATTATTGATTTAGATAACGATTTATAGCTAGACTGAGGTATTTTACTAACCAATCCTAATTTTTTCTCTGCTCTTCGCATTTCAATTCGCTCTAAAATTTCAAAAAGATCAGCTAATGGTTGCTCAGTACTAATACGTTCTGCATCATCCTCCAAGTCTGGAAACAAACCTCGTAGAAATTGGCCCTTAATCTGCTGCTTGTCGAGATTAAGCATTTTTCTATATTTTAAGAGTTTTGAGTAAAATTCTTCTATAGGTTCACTTCCTTGAGCTAATAATCCATATACTAAATTGCGTTTCTCGCTTATTACTATGAAGTATTTATTTCTGAGCCAATATAATGCTTGACCAATTCGAATGTTGCCAAATACTATAGGATTACCATTACCCACATTAATTGCATTAATAGGTCTATCTGATGGTCGCCCTCCAGCCAAGTGCCAATCTTCAGTAAAAGCTTCAGCTAGAATCATTGAAACACCTACTGTTACTGCATTATTACCAGCAATATTTGCATAGTCATGAGTGATTGAAAGATTTCTAAAACTATTACTAGTATTCATCTGTGCCATAGTATGTTCCCGAAGAGCACCCATACCAGCCTGGCCATGATTTGCAAAAATATTGTGAAGTTCCCATCGTTTACCAAGAATTTTT